AGCCAATAAGAGAAAATAAGGCTGTTAACAACCTCATTTGCATCTGGACACTAATCAGTGACTCAAATTTTGGAGGCGACAAGCAGAATTATCCAAGCTTCTTAATTTGTATCTAAACCGACCATTAAATTGTTTTGTTTTGTTTTTTTGTTTTTTGCTAGAGAGCAGTCTGTTCAGATGGGCAACAGCTGGTTTCACAGAATCTTGGACGGCTCCATTCTGGTACAAGTGCTTCTTAATTAACATGCTCATGTCAATAGTAATTAAAAACTTTCTACACTGTGGGCAGTGAAACTAGTGGTTCCAGTCCAAGGGATGCTTGATGGTTCTTTTATTACTCATATACATCCAAACATTTTGTGTAATTGTTTTAAGCCTGACATTTAGGGTGATATTATATAAACTTGAACAACATTAAGTGTTTTGTAGCAGGACAATTACAGTATCCCCAAAACATATACAGTCAGAAAACAAAGCAGGTAAACGTTAAGCCTCATAAGCAAATTCCACAAGACCAAGACTTTTATTTTAGTGAAGATACATTGATTTTAATTGATCTGTGAGAATAAATTTTCCCGTTTAAATAAACACTACAAATCTAAAAGGCAAAGGGATCAAATGTCTGGGATAAAGACACTGGCAACAAAAAGTGTGTGGTTGAGACCAAGCTTGCCAAGGGATGATTTACAGGAAAAGTCGGGTCATATTCAGAATTCAAACTTCTGAAAGTACTTTAGAATTACATTATTACATACTGTTCAATAAATGATTAGTGTTCTTAATTAAGAGTAATTTTCATTTGAATGTGCTTTACTAGAGGCATCCATGGTTGTCAAAGAACACTACTGCCACCTACCGGTTTGTGATGTCACGGTGCGGTATCGGCTGTTGAGCAAGTCCCAACGCTGTATTTAGTGTTTGTCACAACGTGCTATTATCCAAGTCAACTTGAAAACAATCTTATACAAAATGTTAGCTAAATATTATGTATATTTTTCTTTGGCCAGAAGTTCGATGGCAAATCCTCCCTATTGAAGTTGGCAATCCAACGACGAACCCGTCGGTGGAGGATCATGAATTGGAAACGTGAAAAAACTTTTTTATTTTCCCTTTTACCTTTGATTTTTGATTTGATTTTGATTTTATATACTCTAATAATCCCAGAGGGAAAGTACTTCTCAGCATTTAACTCATCCCCTTGGGGAGCAGTGAGCTGTCATTGTGCGGCGCCCGGGGAGCAGTGTGGGGTTATGGGTCTTGCTCAGGGAGCTAGAGTGGCAGTCTGTGGGAGTGGGGGATCGAACTCACAACCTCAGGATTCAAAGCCCTATGCCCTTACAACATCCAACTGCCATGCATGTGGGCATCGTCAGTTTAACAAAAGCTCTCGTGGATTTCAATGGTAAAGTCCTCTGGAAATCTTCCATAATTGTTGTTGATTGCAGATGTGTCTAGTAGTTCCCATTGATTTGGCTTGTAAAGCGGGAAGAATGGCGCTAGGCTTACCGCACCGTCAATGCCATAAGATGGCAGGAGTTTGGTGTTACTATATTTGGGCAAAAATGTCCGGTCTTGGACTCAGTGATCACAATGCTTTTATTTATTTTTTTTTACTGATTAACGCTAAATTCATTAAATCACCACAAATGTACTATTTTTAGGTATAAAGAATGACCAGTTATTATTCCTTCTCCTTTAAGAAATTTTAAACATTTATGTCTAAGATATTTGTATGTAATCTTCATGCTGAAACTGGGACTGCTAAACATGGCAGAGATAAGATGGTCCAACAAACTTCACATGTAGATATTTCCTAAACATGATAACTTGGACTGTCCTTGCTATGTATACATCAACAACAGTGGCTTGGTCAAAAGTATGCATTAGGCCACAGAGTGTGACCATATAAGTGAGTTAGTCTTTTGGCATTTAACACCAATAGTTATACTTTAAGTTTCTTTATTGGTGCAGCAGCCTTGGACATGATTAAATGCAGGACACATCCATTGGCTGCATGAAACATCACATCCCCCTCTATGGTACCTAATTATCACATTAAAGGAAATCTGTCTCTAAAGACATCCATCAGATTCTAAAGTGATTTTTAAACATGGACTGTGATGCATGCAGTGTGAGTTTATATGACCACAAACACCCCTCTGTCATTTCCAAGCATTCAAAATGAGGCATGACTTTAGTTCTTGAGTCTGTGAAATCAAGGTGTCAGGTGGAGTCTGGTCTGAGTGATAATAGATAAGAAGGACAGCAGTGGGTGTTTCCTCCTGAATCAAGATCAATTACAGAGGCTTAAATCCTTCTCTGTCTAATCACCTTGCCAACCGTTCACTCATGCACCAAACAGATCAGTCAGGCTTTAGACACGGATCCTCTCATCCCTGTAATCTGATGTATAAAATCTGAACTGACAGTGTGACTAGGACCCATGGGAACCCCTCGCCACCGGCAAATGATAACCTACTGAGTTTTGGCCCAGGATAATCTCACAAGCTCACAGTAGACCAGAATGAATCGGCACAATGTTTCACCTCAACACTCTAGATTTTAACTGTAATTTGATCCCTTGAATTTTCCATTATATTCCTTTGACACGGAACTTAATCTTGGTGAAAACGTCATAAATTTCTCAGAGATTACACTCAGTTAATGCATTGAGTTTAATCTGTGATCTAACTCTACTTAAAACAAGTTTAATTTGTTTATCTTTTACTTTTTTGCTTGGATTTTTAAAACACCATTGGAAGGTAAAAGTGTCTTCACCACACATATATAAAAATCTAAGTTAATTTAAGTGTTAATTGATGGTAAGAACCTACTGTAGCTTTGAGGGATGCTGATTTGTGCCACAGCCCCGTCTCCTCCCTCTGTGTGCACCCGGACTTCTACCACATATTCTTTATCTGTATCCAGTTGAAGTCCAATGTAGGGAGTTTTGGTCGTGTACAGCGTGGAGTTAATATTGCCTTTCAGCTTGCAGAGCACCTGGATACATGAAGAGCGTAGTTAAAAAGCATGAAGTTCAGAGAAGATTTAGTCTGTAATGAGAAATGATTACGTTTACTTACCCTATAACTTTCTATAATGGATTCATTAGAAAATGGTTCCACTGCTTCCCAGGACACATTTACATACTTTTCCTTTAACTTTGTGGCAACTATTTTTTTGGGAGGTCGATCCGGAGCTGGTAAGTTAAAAAGAGCAACTTTCTGTCAGATCAGAGAATTATTATTTTGTATCATTTTTATTTTTTGTCATGTAAAGTCAAACATCTGTCATGTGTTTAGTTTTACAAAGTAAGTCACATAAGTCCGTGTTGAAACCTACGGGGTTTTTTGGTGCGGATCTTGATGGGTTTGCTGGGCGGTCCGTAGCCTGCAGAGTTGTAGCCTCGAATCTCAATGATGTAGTCTGAGCTGGGCTTCAGGCCCTCCAGCCTTGTGTGGTTTTCCTTTGGTGAGGCCCGAACCGTGAGACTTTCACTTTCTTGGTTTTGTCTCCAGTACTTTACCTAACGCAGACAAAACATTGATAGAAATGTTGACAATGATTAAATGGTGACTTTAAAGAGTTGAAAGGTGCTTTAAATCAAAGAAAAACATTTTAGAAGAAAGGAAGAAAAAAGGTGCATGGGATATATACAGTCATAAGTGTGTTCACATGTGGCAGCTTCTTTTTAGTTACAACAAAAAAATACTTTGTTCACTTTGTTCTAGTTTTTGTGTCTGGGGCATTTAAAATAAAATCATACAGTATGTGCAAAACCTATTTCAAATAAAACTGTGAGTCTTTGACAACCTGCTCTGACATATCTGGATTATGCTGAGGTTCTATGAGCATGAGAGAGAGCAATACGTCCAGCAGATAATAGAAAGCCTAAACAGAGTAAAGGACTCTTTATGTTTCAACTTCTTAAGCTTGAAATGTAATAAAAACCAAGTCCACATGTGACAAGTTAAAATTATTACAATATTTTAAAAGTTGTCCATACACAAGTTAAAATACACAGGTTTAAAAGACTGATATTTCAGTTAAAAAACCAAAAGTTAAAAATAATTCATATTTCATAATTATCATTTTGTTATGATTGTTTAACCCTTTAAAGCCAGATCCAAGAATAAAACAAAACAGAAAATTACTTTTTGGGTTTATTTGGCCTTTAAACAAAATATGTAAAAAGAAAAAACAGAAATACATTTTTGATATTAATAATTTATTACTATGCGATAAGTCAAGATTATTTTTCTGTGTATTCTTCTGCCCTCTGTTATCAGGTATATCTGATTGTGTACAATAGGATTTTGAGCAGTTTTTACCTTTAAATTATGCTAAAGTTGTCAGAAGCAAAAAATTTCAGAAACTGTATGTATCAAATATGATACATTTGGCATTATAGGGTTAAAAGCAGTGGCAATACAGTACTAAGAGTATTAATACTATGTACACTATTTACAATTTGTTAAGAGTTCGATGGTTTGTAGATCGATTGCTTCTGTCCAGCAGAGAACTGTGTTTTGCGCTTGCACAGAAAAGTTTTGGTGTTCTTTTGAATAAAGTAAAAGTGAGTAAAGACGTCGGCAGCATCTCCATTATTCATTTTAACCCAAAAGCAACCACGTACCTCTTCCAAGTTATCGGAGCAGAGGGCGCAACACACACATTTTAATAATACTATACATAGTCATTGCTATAAGAAGTTTCTCATTTTTAAGCTCAACTTAATCCATTTTACATTATATTTATTACATTACAGTGACGATACAAACTTTGAAAGCAGTTCTGCTTCTAGAGGTTGTTAGAGAAACTAAAATCAGATCAACCTGTAGTGCTATGTTAGAGCTTTACACAAACAGAAGATTGAAATGGTTAATAAAATCTCGACCAGCAAATCTCCCTTTTTTTTTGTTTGATAAGTGTTTTTTTTTAAGAGAACAGAAATTAAACCTTGAAGTTAATAAAGGAAGGTTGATCTTTTTTAAGCTGTTTTAGCTTTTATGAGCTTTCAACAATACCTGCCTTTGAACATGCTGGAATATAGATATTTGTTAGCCTCTTGAAATCTCAATGTTAAGCAAAAGATTTCATTGTTTTTTAATTTTAGGGATAGCAATTGCCTACCAAAGCTCTTTACTTATCATGGAAATTAGAGACTGAAATCATTTTAATATGTCAACTCTGTATTTATTTTGTGTTTGTTTCAGAATAGCGTAGCAATTCTCCAAATAATTTTTTTTACCCTGTAAGATTAAATAAAGCTTTACATTTTTTTTTTTTTGTATCTTTTCACTCAGAAATTCAACTGTAACACTACAATTCTTAGAATATTTAGGATGTACAATAGTTTTAATTATAAACAAAAGTTTCTTGATCAAAATTTGGTTTACTAACCTGGTATCCATCTATACCAGTGTCTGACTGAAGCAGCCAGGAGACGGAGGCAGCTGTGGCAGAGAGGGCTTTCCCTTCAACGGCTTCAGGAGCTTCAGACGGAGCTAAAGAGGAACCAGAGAAAATATACAAAATAGCCAAGAGGTTATAACAACAGAGGAATTTTCCATTATCACTTAAGGTGACTAAATCATCATAACTTCAAGTTAGGTCTGACGGAAGCCCTCAGAAAAGTAAAAGATTCAGATTTTTTTTTTGTTTTCAAGTATACATAATGCCAGAGTAAGGTTTTTCAGAGTCCAATCCTCCATTAATTCTAATGTTTATCAGATGGTGTGTGAGAAAATGTGAAATCATCTGAAAAAAGATAAAAGCTGAGGCACAGCTGAGCAGTTTTCTAGAAATAGGGTAACAACAGTTATCAGGATGCAGTTTCTTGAATTTTTGCTTGGACAGCACTCTTTTCTGTATTTTTGTTTTTGTTAAGCACAATCAAACAATCTTTTTTTTTTTCCATGAACGACAAAATAAAATGCGTATGAGGCCATTTTTAAGTGAAGATTTAATTTCATGTCTGATGCTCTTATTTCTCATAGCTTAAGTTTCCAAAACGTTTCAAATCATTTCTGTTTTTGCGAACTTTTCTAGATAATAGGACAGTATCTTGCAACAGTTCCAGTTTAATGAGCACTTTGTGACCAAATTCCTGCTTGATAAAATTCGGAAAAGAAACTTGTATTTTAAGGGGTGTTTTTGTTTCTTTTTTTGTTTGTTAATTTGTTTTAAAAACAAAGACAATAACAGAAAAAAAAGAATCTGTACATTTTTTAATTAATATTTTACATTCATGGAATGTTGTTTCAATAACTAATAATCAGACTGAAACACAAAATGTATTCGGCATACTCTGATAGACATCCTTTTGCTAAAATGTGAAACAAATATGGCATGAAACCACATAAAAAAGTTACACTAGATGTTTTTTTTTACTTTTCCTTTGAGAACATCACTGGAGGCTGAATATTTTTTTCATAAAGAGTCCCATTTAGAGCACTTAAAGAAATACATGCTGCTACAGAAACGTCAAACAGCTACTGGCATATTGGACCAATATCATTTTTAATACTGTACACAATACTGCACAGGCTGTTCCCCAACATACTGGAGGGAAAACACGCATGAATGATTTCACAGTTATATCCTCAACAGGCTTAAATTTCCTAAGAATGTTATCCTGGCTGGAAGGCTTCTCTGTAAGCCATTATGTCTGGATTGCCAGTGTTTATCTCAAGTGTTTGTCACTGGAAGTTAATTAGTCCAAACATTTTGCATCCCGGCTCAAATGATCAGCCTTTTTTTGTCTAACAAGGATCATTAAAATCTGCCTGCAATGAAAAACTATATTGTTAGTTTTCATGCCATAAAATCAATTTTTAAAGTGCATGGCTTTCTTGGTAAAGGTGAGCTTATAGAGAGCTGTGTACTTACGGTCCTGAGCAGAGTAAATGATGGCTGTTATGCTGTAGGGTCCCTCTCCTTGGCTGTTGAAGGCTTTAACTTTGACTTCAAACTTCGTCATAGGTTTCAGTTTGGGGTCTTTGTAAACATAGCGCTTGGCTCCAGGGTCAGTCACTTTCACCCTGTTCCACTCTTTTTCTTCAAGTGGTTTAAACGCCACTATGTAGCCAAAATTAGACCCAAAGTAGTACTGTGGCTGGACTGGCTAAAACAACAAATTAAGGGAAAGAGAACAGATAATCATATGATCTAGAAAATAAACCCTTTAAAATATTATCTCTTAACTAATCGGAAAAGTATCGAAAGGATAAAACCATTTCTTACTTTGTTCTTTTCTCATAATACTTCATAAAACTGGCTTAGTGTGTAATCCAGGCTTAGTTTATCATCTAACTTACTTTGTTTTAATTTGGGTTTTATAGACCTAGTTTGTTCTGAATCTGAATCAGTTACTATGGCAACTGAGCAAACCAAGTCTTCCCTTACACTTATATTCATGAACATGTCTGATTTTCTAGAGAATAACAGCTCAAATTATATCCTAACTGTAAAATCAGACGGTGGCGGTCCTCCCCCAGTCTTTGTTACATCCCTTTTTTTTTCCAATATTTTGTCATCTTTTTTTCAAGCCCAAGCATTATTCCTGCTGACTCGAGTCTAACTCTGAATTAAAAGCAGGTAAGAGCTCTAAAACTAGGACTCCAATCTCCAGGCTAAATAGACTAAAACTGAACAAAAGCATTTGACAAGATTTTAACTAAAATCTATTTTCTTTTTGTCCCAACCCTATAGACCAAACTTCGGCCCTATGCCCTACATAATAGAGTGTTTACATCGTTTTAGATGAAAGTCTGAACGTCTAGTGCAGCTGTCACCAACCTATTTACAGCTGAGGACTAATTCAGGGGCACTGAGTCACAGGAAGGGCTACCAATACTGACCTATGAATGGCAAGGGTCAATGTTCACCTAAACTTCATATATTATATACATATCTTTATCGTTTCTTTAAATTTATAATTTTCTTTTAGACATTTTCATTTTGAAATGTCTATAAATGCTTAAATGCCATATATGATTAAATGATGAAATGTTCTATAACCCAATTAAAAAAAGAAGAGCAACAGAATACAGTGAAATTTCAAACGTAGCTCACTGTTGAGTTGTTCTATTTTCAGAAGACTCTAAGGGCACCCCTTGTGGTCCTTGAGGGCCCCTTGGTGCTCGTGGGCACCATGTTGGTGACCCCTGGTCTAGTGGATAAAAAAAGTAGTGGACTCGAAATTTCCCACAATGCACTTTTAAAAGCAGTGATCATCTATGGTGATCAGATGAGCAAATACATCCCAGAATGCTTTGTGAGAGCTCTCCTCGCAAGGCATCATGAATTTGATGTGGTGACGAGAAAGAATAAAGATAGGGAGTGAAAAGTAGGGATAATCTGTCCGAATACTCAGTTAAGTGAGTTCACTATGAAATCACACTATATAATCCTGGCTCTATTTAGTGATTGAGCGTTTGTAGGGGCTAAGGCAGACATTCGGACACAGCCCTCTATTTAAAATGTTACATCTAATACATCTATCTCTAATGAAATATTCTGTTGATGATGAAAAAGGCGACCTATGCCTTTAATGTACAGTATCAGCAATGCCGTGCCAACCTTCTTCCCTGGATGTATTGATGACAATAAGAATTCCTTTTTCCCTTTTTCTGTTAACTTTATGTTTCTCAGTGAACTGAGTGATCAGCTGCACGATCTGCCTGTGTGTGTCTGCTAAGACTGATTAATGGAACCTGTCTTGCATTAGTGACATTAAGCAAGCAAAGCACCTAATGATGATATCCAGTAATCGCAGCTTTACATGTTTTGTCAAACATAAGTCAGGATAAGGTGTCCAAGTCTTGCTTTTCGACATGAATTTTATGAATAAGCATAGAAAGAATCCATCCATGTATTTGTTTTTTCTTCTTTTTAACCTGTGTTGGGATGAAATAATGTTTATGGGAAGACCTGTATGACTGCAGTCTGTGGAGGAACATGTATATGATATCATACACATGTTCATAACAGCAAAATAAATAAGAAAGTATAGAATAAGAACAGGGATGATGTTAGGGGATAATCCAAGGCATCTGAATGCTTCACACTTCCCCACAGTTACCCTTCCATCAGAAGAGGAAGTGATACCAGACACTAAATATTCGAACAATAATCATACAAAAAAAAACAAATAAAAACTTTTTTATTAAGTTTGACCCTTATTTTGAATTAGAGGGTTCTGCTGGATTTAATTGTAACTTGAAAACTCAGTAATTTAAGTCACAAGCTTATATATAAAGCATTGATCTGTAAAGTGTAATTTTAATAAAAGTAATAAAACTTATAAATGAATAGGCGAAATGACAAACTGAAGACATTAAACAATCTTTGTCAGCTCTTACATAATGATCTGCATGTTGAAAAGGATCGACCTACCGTCCACGTGATGGTCAGCTCTCTGCTGGCCCCTCCGCCCCCGTCTACATTTGAGGGCGCCACCACAGGAACTAGATGAGACAGCGAGAGCAAAACTTTGAGCCCACATGCTTTGAATCCACACAAACAAAGCCAAACCCACACGGGGCTGTAACCAAGCCCTGGCTTAACAACTGAGACATCTTTCTTCTGCAAACAGAGTATCAATGTCTTCTACTGCGCAAAAGACGATCCCTAACGTGTGTGTAGGAAACTTGCCAGCACATTTTTAAGTAGCTCACCTTCATTTAATAATCATTTTCTAAAGGACTTAAAAGTCTGCTTTGCCTAAAGTGCTCATTTGTTGCATGTTAGGCTACAATGTTTTTGTAATCACCTTAATGTAAATCCTGCTGAAAAGCTTCAAGACTAATATTTCACATAGTAGAAAGAGAAAGTGTAACTACAAAATACAGCGATAGAAGGCCGTAATGCATTTTTCCTTCTTCTCTTACATTTCCTTAAATATTTTTATTTTTTTTTAGTTTTTGAAATGACACCTATAGTAAATAGATCTAAAATCCACACTCGATCCTACCTGATTCCAGGGTTGTCTCTTTTTGCGACGGTCTGCTGGGTTCTCCTGTACCCAGAGTGTTGGTGGCTATGACCCTGAACTCATATTCTGTCCAAGGGAACAGATCCACCACTGTTGCTGTCTCTGCATTCCCCTCAACATCAGCCGGTGCTAAAACAAAGCAAACCCAGAAGAACGTGGTCCTTGAATTAATTTACAAATATCAAATATTACATTTTACAAAATTACAACAAAAATCTTTTAACCTCTTAACATCCACCTCATTATGGGTAATCCTTTCCTATTTAGCATTCCCAAATGGAAAAGCAAATAATTTAGGAACTGTATGCCCAAATTACATGTACAATACATTATTTGAAAGCTAAAATTGAGTGACTAGAACACAGACCAACCTGCATCAATTCAAACATGACTCAAAGTTGTTGTTTTTTATTCTCGGAAATGATAAAGCTTTTTATGAACAGCAGTAATAAATACATTCTTGAGAAAAAGCAGGTTTTATTGTATTATATTTGTTCTACGTCATTTCAAACACAAATGCAGAAAATTTCAGACCTCTAGCTATAACAGTTCCAGAGCTGTAGGGTTTGGAACTTTTGGTGTCAGCTTGGAGCTGCATGCAATGGCTCCACCTGCTGGTAATCATTTTACAGGTGGAATTTTATGCTTTCTGGTCGCTGGTGGGTTTTAAGAGGTTAAAATGCGTTAAGTCTTCAAGATAGAAGAACAAAAAGCATTACAATATTGGGAACAAAAGGGAAAAAATACCTTTTTTTATGATAACAATACTCAAAGTGTTGTGATGATGAGGTTAATTAACAGTCAGTCAATAATGCAGGATGTATTTTTATGTTTTGGTAGGTTTTACTAGTTTGTAATCCTACATTGTCACTGTGTGAAATCAACATCAGCTTTTTTTTCCCTATCTCTTGCATTCGGCGGTACTGACATGTTGTGGCGATCTTCCAGACATCTTTCGAGAATTGGTCTCTGTATTGAATGGTGTACTTGGAGATTGGACTGTGGTTGTCAGCTCCACGGCTCCACTGCAGCGTAACGTTCCTGTCACTTTTGTGAGCTATACGCACCCCACCTGGGGCACCAGGGGGCCCTGGAATGTAGAAAAGATTAATAGAGAGGCTTTAAAGTCTATTGGTGCAGAAAGCAGATGTGGCAGAAACACAATGCTAAGGCCACTCATAGAGGTTTGAGTAACAGGCAGACAGAAAAATGATGTGATTAGAGGAGCTTCAGCCTATTGAAACACAACATATTACATCCTTTTTCGTTTTTCTTCTTAATTTTATACAATTCAATATAAAATTCAATTCAGTTTATTTCTATAGCGCCAATTCACAACACAAGTCATCCCGAGGCACTTTACAGTTCACCAATCATACAGTCAAATTGATTCAAAGTTTTCTATCTAAGGAAAACCAGTTAATTGCATTCCCTCATTGACTCAAAGGCAATCCCTCACACTAAGAATGCTTGTAGCGACAGTGGAGAGGAAAGACTCCCTTTTAACAGGAAGAAACCTCCAGCAGAACCAGGGTCAGTGTGAGCGGCCACCTGCTGAGGCCGACTGGGGTTCAAGGAGACAGAAGCAGAGACACAAAAAGCAGCTGTAAAGGCGGCACAAGCCTTTCTTTAGGGTGTTAGATAGTAGCAGTTATAAAGTCAAACTTTGTTGAAGCTTTTTTTTTATTCTAATGTTTCCTCTTGGTACGACTGCAGCTCCTGATTCTTCCGTTTGGGACAGAGAAAGTATCCTGACCCACAGCATTGAAAAGCAAATAAATTCCCTTTTAAAAGTCATAAATCAGAGCTGAGAAAAGTAAAGGGAATATATTCAGTGTTTAACTTTCACCAATATATCACAGCTAAATGCTAATTTGTATAAAAAACATACACTTTAACTAAGAAAAATAAGCATGTTTAATTCTTAACTTTTGGTACAGGTTTCCTGTCCTACATTAAAACATAAATCTCATAAAAAAATCTTAATAGTGTACTTGAAAAAGAAAAGTCATAATGCATTTTTACGGCACAGAGTGAAATTCATTTTCTTAGACTGTTTTACCATCATACATACAAGCAATACAAAAAATTTGTGATACAAACATATAAAATTACAGAATGAGGGGGTAGACTGGGTGGCAGTTCTCTAACTCAAAGTCACTGACAATCCTCCACAAGGAGGGTCAGTGACACAAGGTTATTGCTATAAAGCTGGTCTGTTGAAGAGACTGTTTACAATCACATTATGGGGAAGTTTAGTGGGAAAAAAATCTGCTAGAAAACAACAGCTGAAGCAGAAATTGTTCAAGGATTTTATGGAAATTCTAAAGGCATGGACTGTGAGTTTATTCTTTATGTTCCACCACAGAGAGAGAGATAGCCAGGACATGGGAATCGACTGTGGATGTTGATATATTTTTCAGTAAGCTGAAATTTCGTTATTGCAAATCCAGATTTTATAGGTTTAATTTTCTATTCCAAAAAAGTAAAAAACAATCCACTGGACTTTGTTTCCAAGTTTGAAGACGTTTCACTTCCCATCCAGGAAGCTTTTTCAATTCAAAATGTCAGAATTAGCATTGAGTTCCAAGCTTTATGGAGTAGCCCAAATAAAGCCTTGTGTTGGCTTAGGAAACATGCAAGTTGAAGCGAAAGAACGGGTCTGCCCCTTGGGAATGGGGAGTCATTGGGTTCTTTGTTTGCCTGCAATACCCGATACTGGCCTATGCCTCTGAAAGGGGGGTCGTTAGGGGGGATTGTTGGCTCTGCTGAACAGGAGAGATGTTTGGTCCCCTGTATTGGGTTGGGGGTTGCGATGATAGTGGGAGGGAACCAACTCTATCGCTGCAATTGTAGGTTTTTGAAAGCTGAAACCTGAGTCTAAATGGGGGGGATTCAGAAGCGAAAACGTCTTCAGACTTGGAAAAAAAGTCCAGTGGATGATTTTTAAACTTTTTTGGAATGAATATGACCTGGATAATCTTCACCAGCATGTTGAACTTTTACATTTTCAAAAAACTTCCAATTTTTGATTAGCTGTAAGCTAAAAACAATTTAAAAAAAAGGACAGAAAGACAATGGAGCTCTCTAATTTGCCTATTACTATTTCTATAGAGGAAATAAATAAACTATCAAGATTATTTTAATTTATGGAGATGCAGCAGTATGTCTGAAAATCAAAGAAAACCATTGAGAAATGCTACAGAGTCTGGCCTTTTTTCTTCACATATTGAGAAGAGTCCTGAGTATTTTCTTTTATTTGAGGGCAAATAATACATATAATACAAATACATCACTACGGTAAAAATTGTTCCTCCTGCAAAAAATATTCTTCATAAGCTGTGATAAACTGCTTTCAGTTCTGATGCAAGTTAACACACCATTAGCTTTGGTTACACTTTGGGAAATCATCACATCCTGCTGCTGTGCCTTCACCTGGCTGTCTGTCAGCACCTGCCGTGAAAGCAGGAAGCCAAACCAGGACACTGCAGGGATCACCGCCACTCTGGATCACTGCTAGAATTCCTAAGTGCAAATCTAAGAAAGCCATTGTCTTGTAATACTGAGCTTGTTTCATGACCAGTGAAATGACTGTATGGCAAAGATGAAACACTGAAGGTTGGCAGTGTTTACTTTGTTTGAAGCGAGAAATGAAGTGAGGAAATCAGCAGCTGTCTGTCATGATATAGCAAAGAAAGATAGAAATCTATGAGTCATTATCTCCTCATCCCATGACATCACGCTTGATTCATTCATTAGGCCAGATGGTAGCTGACACCTTTTCAAAACATGTTTCACAGTCACAGAAGCATTACTTGTCACATTCAGTTTCTTCATCTACTGTGACTCTGCAACCTGATCGTCAACTCATCAGAATTTCTAACATAAAAAATGTTTTCTTTAGTTGCCATTTTCAGGTCCAACCAACATGTCTACTATTTTTTAACCATAATGGTGAAATAATTTACCATATTTACCTGTAGAAATCAGTCATTTTTATTTGAACTGGCTGAAAACGGGTGAGTGTGTGAGTGCATGGTTGTTTGTCCTGTTTGTCTCTGTGTTGCACCGTGATGGACCGGCGAGCTGTCCAGGGTGGACCCCGCTTCTCACCCGTAGACAGCTGGAGATAGGCACCCACCCCCCCTCACGACACCACTTGGGATATGCACGACAGAAAAAAATGGATGGATGGATTGACTTTGTTTTATACCAAGAGCTTTTAAGTTATGCAGGCAAAACAGGATTCTCAGCTAAATTAATTCCCATGTCGCATTTAAGCCAGTGCACCATGAATGCACCCTGCGACCCTGCTTGGGATAAGCATGACGAAAAATAAATGGATGGATGGATGGCTGAAAATGGATTTTGTTATCTTATTAGGGTTTCTATATTTCAAGTAATCATTGCAGATTTAGTTTTCATGGAGCTCCAACTTAAAATTACAAATTGAATCCAGTGTTATCTTGTAGATAATAAGTTACCAGACAGAAAAGGTTATGATCTTGTTGTGTCGCACCAGCTAAAGAATCAAGAATCTTGAAATCATCTATAAACTTTGTCATACTGAGCCCACAATGTAATTTTACGGAGACTTCATGGCTTCGAATGTTTACATATTGCATTAACAAAACAGTAGATGACACTTTTGGAGAAATATAAAACACCCTCAAAAAAAACATAAAATAAATGCACCCGTTCAGAAAAAACAAAGAGAAACTCTTTGAAAAAAAAAAGAATGTACAAGGTCCTATCATAAACTGTAAAAATACAAGGATTTACACCTGTAGATAAGCTACTAAAAGTCAGTTTACAGTTTGATTAGTTTTCACCCCCTTACTAGGATAAGGACAAAGCATTTAAAAGGTTTACCAAAAACTTATGACCCAAAAAATAGAGGACTATTTAAAAACTAAAACTACACACTGGAAAAACTATCTAGAAATATGTAAAAATGTCTTAAATTAAGTGTATTTACCCTTAATTTGAGTAGGTAAATTAAATGATCTGCCAATGGAATTGATATTTTTACTCTTAAAATAAGATAATTACATAAAATGCAATTGAAATAAGACCCAAACAAATGTATTTTCTTAACTTAAATGTAAATTGTCTTGTTCTATTGGCAAAATGTCATTTTTACCTCCTCGATTCAAGAATAAATGCACTTATTTTAAGAAAAAATTACTTTTAATTTTTCAGTGCAGAGCTGCTACACTGCAAAAACAATCTAGAAATAGGTCAAATGTTCTTAAATTCAGTGTAAATAAGATGATTTGCCAATAGAATGAGTAGTTTTGCTCTTAAAATAAGACAATTAGATAATATGTACTGGAAATAAGACAATGTAATTGTTTTTTCTTATTTTAAATGTAAATTGTCTTGTTCCATTGGCAAAGTGTCACACTTACCACCTTAATTTAAGAAAAAATGCACTTATTTTAAGAAAGAATGACTTCAATTTTTTGCCGTGTATATTAAAATGTCAAAAGGTGAAGCTGTTTTCAACACCTTTACAATAACTTGTTTCAAAGATTTATAACTCACCCCGGACGAGCAGGTGGGCTGAAGCGGTGGCGTTGTCAACCTGGGTTTTAGCGGTGCAGGTGTACTGTCCACCATGCCTCAGTTGAGCTTTTTTGATCAGTAGTTTAGAATTTGAACTTCCATTCTGCATTAAATGACACATCAAGAAAAAAAAAATATGACCAATTTATCTGAAGGGAAAAATTATTTCCTCCACCCCAAAATATGAAGAGTTTTGCATCAATGTTGAACTCCTTTCGTTTGAGCTATGACCGGGTGGACTCTCGCCTTGAAAAGCAAAATCCTCCAAGAAACCACACTGCACCACAAACCCAAATTAGTTTCACTAATGCAACACAAACAGAAATAAAAACTCAACTCCCTTTTATTAAAAGGGAAATTCCTACTGACAAAAAAACAGGTCATCAATCACAGTCGTAATCTGGCGGTTGTTGACTGAGTGGAGAAAGAAATGGGAAACCACCAGTTTAGGAGAAGAAGACACTGTTTGCTATTATGGGATGTTTTGGAGAAGAAGTCGTGTCCACATCATGGAAAATAAAGGCAGTTATAATTACAACTGGTAGATGTTTTTTTAAGGAGGCATGGAAGATTCATTTTGAGGTCATTAAGTCGACTCAAGCTGTACTGTTTTTCCATTTCAGATATCCCAGTATTAACATCAGACTCCAGAGTAGGACTTTAATCCAGCTCAATAATACATTCAGTCCCCATCAGACCAAATATCAATGATTACTCACCAGGATGCTTTCATAATGTGTGTTCTCTTTGTGCAAATCTATCACTCGTCCATTCAGGGACCAGATGAAGGTGATGTCCACCGATGGGTCATATGATGCTGCACACTCCATCCAGGTGTCGTCGCCAGCGTGAATGTCCGCATTTGAGGGTGCCAATGTGATCTTTGTTGACTCTTGATAAATAAAAGAAGCAGAGAAGCTAATGGCAAGAATGAGGATTGCTGAAAATTTTTTTGTTGTTGTTTTGTTTTTTTCATTTGAGGTTCAGAAGGGCAAAACAATGAGAATTTCACCAAAAAAGAAAATGCTTAAGGATGCATTTAGCAAAACAAAAAGACACATATTAACTAGAAGTCAGGGTTAGGTAGGCATTCCGCAAACACAGGCCTTCCTTGTGTGACATCATGAAAAATAGACAATATATCAGGAATAGATTATCAAGCCATGCGAATCTGTTTAAACTAATTTCTTAAATTTCTTTCATAATGACAGGGGCAAATCTTCCTACTTGCATTTTTTTTACGTTATAATCATAATATTGTATGCTAATAATTCATTATAAAGAGATGTTTTATAACTTTGATTTTGTCTAAACCTTTATGAGCTTTTTTGAGATTGGAGTTTTTTTTAATGGTTAAAGTGTGCTGTAAGTCTAAGGGACTCTTGGTTGAACCCCAAAAACAATATCATGGATTTTTTTTCTGAATGAAAGCATTGGTGTGGTTAAAAAATAAATAAATAAAAAAAACTTTTCAGAAAAGACAGGTCTGGTTCTCCAGTTTTTCTACAGCTCGGCTTCTCAGCATGACACTTTCTGTATTTTACCTCCACTG